TCAATTTTGGGAGGTTTTGGGTCAGTTTTGGGTCAATTTTGGGGTCCCACCCCGGGGAGAGAAAGGGACAGAACGGGGATTCCGGGGCCGATTTCGGAGCGGATTTTTGGTATAAAATCGGATTTTTTTTGGCTAAAATAATTTTTTTTTAATTTTTCCTCATTCTGGGGGTCTCCCCTCACCCGAGAGGATGAAGAAGATGCCCGAGACGAAGGCCAGGAGGGTCCTCTGGGGGCGGATGTGCCCCACGTTGCTGATGACGAAAGCGGTGAACACCAGGAACAGACTGACCATGGGGAACGGGGTGGCCGTGCGCACCGTCTCTGGGGGAGAAATCACCCGAAATCACCCCAAAAATCACCCGGAAATTAACCCAAAAAATCCCGAAAAAATACGGAGTTCCCGGACCCCAAAAACCCCCAAAAAACCAAAAAATTCCCACAGAAAACCCATAAATTCCATCAAAATCCATCCCATAATTCCTCCAAAATTACCCAAAATCACCCCAAAATTTACCCCGAGACCCCCGAGATCCCCCCCAAAAAACCCCGAGCTCCTAGACCCCAAAAAAACCCCAAAAACCCCCAAAAAAACCCAAATTGCCCATGGGGAACGGGGTGGCGGTGCGCACCGTCTCTGGGGGAGAAATCACCCAAAATCACCCCAAAAATCACCCCGGAAAAATCCCGGAAAAATCCCGGAAAAATCCGGAGTTCCTGGACCCCAAAAACCCCCAAAAAACCACCATGAAAATGAAAAAAAATCCCACAAATTCCATCAAAATCCATCCCATAATTCCCCAAAAATTACCCCAAAATCACCCCGAAAAAATCCGGAGTTCTTAGACCCCAAAAAACCAAAAAAACCCAAAAATCCCCAAAAAATCCTCAAAATCTCCACAAAAACCCCATAAATTCCACCAAAATCCATCCCATAATTCCCCCAAAATTACCCAAAATCACCCCGGAAAAATCCCGGGAAAACCCGGAAAAATCCGGAGTTCTCAGACCCCAAAAAACAAAAAAAAACCCCAAAATCCCCCCAAATTCCCAAAAATTGCCTCTCAAATTCCCCCAAAATTCCCAAAATT